AAATTTTAAAATTTTATTTATAATATTCAAATCATTAATATTAAATTCTAAATGATTCGATCATGACACAAATAGTTGCTTTTATTTGATGGTTCAAAAAAAATCATTTGAGTGCGAGTTTTATACATGATAGTGTTTTGACTGTCATGTATGCAAATTTTTTTTACCTACAAAATTATTGAATTTTTTTTCTAGAAGCTAATGAATATATATATATATATATATATATATTCAAAAGATAATTGAATTTTAATATATGGTTGGAGGTCATCATAGCTCAACCAAATCAAAACTTTGCAAAAATTCAAGTATAAATATGATCTCAATCAGTAGAGAGATAATCAAAATAGATCAAAACTTGCGAAAACTCTAGCAACCAGAAACAAGCAAAGTAATAATAGCTAAGACAAATATGTCACATAACAAGTCATCGAGGAGCACCAATGAAAGCTCCACCACAGAATCACAAAAAACATCCCAACTGATCAAAGTCATAAACTAACTGATACAAATGAAAAAATATAATGACAATAAACATAAGCAGCAAAATAAAAGAAGCAACTACATATTATAAGAAAAAAAATTATTAAGGTTTGGAATATCATACTTAGAATTTCAATTTTTATATCTAATTTTTCAAGGAGCTCTTTTAGAAATAATATCACGAGAAGTATTAGAATTATTAAAGATTTTATTAATCCTTTTAGATCAAAATTCATAAGTAATAGATTGAATAGCTAAAAGGTAGAATCTCTTGTGAATTTCAAAACTGATACTCTTAGCATTATTCAAAAACTTGGAAAAAGTTACTAGCAACAATGAAAGTATCCTCAATAAGAATACATTTCTTCATTAAATTATGAGAAAAGAAAAAAATAGACGATTATAAGTTTCTAAACTATTAAAGCATAATAGCAATTAAGTATAACATTAATACCCATAGAATTAAGAATATTAATAATTTTAATACTGATATTTAAAATTCTATAAGAAAGCATAGCCAAATTGATATAGTAGCCTTTGCATCAAACTAATATGTTCCAATTTCTAATAGGTAAAGTGTCATAAATAAAATGACAAACATTTTTATTGTTGTAATAATATTTAATTTTCCAAATTTTCCAAATAAAACTAATTCAATCATCAACAATATGAATGCTATGAGTAAGAAGTAAACAGTAAGGGGGAATATTTCATTGCTGATGAAAAACCCAACATCCATTAGTAAGGAGATCTTTAATTTTGATAAATTTAGGAAAACAAAACCAATCAAAAAATTGAATTATCATATCTCAAACAAAGAAGATCCTTTACTCAATGATCAAATAAAAAAGAAGATTTCTCTTAGTATTAACTTGAAAAATAAGGCATCTTTTAATCATAAAAGCCATTTTAGATCTTTCTAAAAGGTAAAGATTTTTGATATAGTATTAATACAAATTATACCAAAACTATACATACTCCACTAAGCTAAAAAAGTGTTAAGAGTTAAAATGCTTCCCAATAATTTTCACTTTACACATCAAATTAATTTTATCTATAAAGGGAATACCAAGACCTTCATGAGCTTTAGGAACAGAAGTTATTTTTCAAGAAATAGTAGTAATTTTATTCACACTATTATTATGAAAAAA